GATTACAGTTTGTTTTATAGCCAGATCGGACACTAGACCATCTATGCCACATGACAAGAGGCTATTAGCAAATATTGAAATTAGGCAGAATAAAAGGCTTAGGTGGGCTAAGGTAGATACTAAGGAGCTATCTATCTTTCTAAACTCAGAACAGGCCCAGTCCTGGAGAAACTCTATCTCTACCCCCAACCAAAGCCCAGATAAGATCCTGATACAATACGCCAATTTGACTACCTCGTTGAGGAAATTCCTAATTGATAAAGTTCCTATTAGAAATCATCATCAATCCAGTACAAACTGGTTTGATTCCGACTGTTTACATTCCAGAAAACATTTGAGAACAACAATGCAACTGGCCCAGAAATATCCTAGCATAAAAATTCATTCTAGAATGCTATGAATTAGGCGTGAATATAAGAAAATCATTACGTCTAAAAAAGCCCTATATACTGCTAAATTATGGGCAGATTTAGAACTTTCAGCAAAAGGAACTAACTCTATTTTTTTCTGGAATTCCGTTTCGGGTCTACTGAAGGAACGCAAATTCCAATTTGATATTTCTATACCTGCCTTAGATTGGGAGGATTTTTATACAAGCATGTTTACAGATTTAAATCAAAGCTTCCCTCAAAAGAGACTAACTGTGCCCACATATTTTGAAAACCTCCCTCCTTGGCCCCCTGTGTCAGTAGCTGAAGTTAAATCCATTATCCAATGCTTGAAACCTAATAAGGCACCAGGAGAGGATTTTTTACCTCCAGAACTCTTTAAAACTCATACTGACTGGTGGGCCCCATTACTTGCAGGCCTGTTTACTTACATAAATAACACAGGAACTATTCCAGTAGGGTGGGAAGTTGCAACTGTTGTCCTTACACATAAAAAGGGAGACAAATCTGATCCTCAAAATTATAGGCCAATAAGTCTCATTGGAATTGTAGCAAAAATGTATGCTAAACACCTCTTGGGCAAAACAGAGGATTGGGTAATTAGGACAAACCTCCTTGTAGAGGAACAAACTGGTTTTAGACCAGATCGCTCTACATTAGACAATTGTTTCATCTTATACCATCTTATTACAAAACAACTGGCTAGAGGCAATAAACTGTTCACTGCATTTATAGATCTAACCGCAGCTTTTGACTCCATAAACAGAAATATCTTATGGAAGAAACTGAATAACTTAAATATGGAGCCCAGACTCTTATTCCTGGTAAAGGCCCTTTATTCAAATACCCATCTAAAAGTTAGAACTGGCGTAAATGGCTCTCTAACCAAGAGCATCCCCACTCATAGAAGTGTTAGGCAGGGTTGCATCCTAGCTCCAATGCTTTTTAATCTTTACATAAATGATATGCCAGGATTCCTGTGTACCTCACACACACACATGCTAAAAATTCATGGTACCTTTGTAACTGTGCTTTTATATGCAGATGATATGGTTTTAATGGCATACTCTCAAATAGGTCTGAGACGACTCTTGAAAAAGCTAAATAATTACTGTGTTTCTAACTCTCTAACTATAAATAAATTCAAATCTGAATTGATGGTTTTTAGTAAAAGGAGAGTAAAATACAACTGGAAGATAAGGGGGGAGCCAATAGAACAGGTGA